AAAGAAAGAAAAGATAAAAGAAATTCATTGTAAAGGTCAGTTAGATCAGATCTATAATTGCATTAAGGTTCAAATACATCTGGGTGTTACCTGTTCCTTATCTTTGAGAGCGTGGTGATTGAGGTGGGAGAGACCAACAGTTTGGTTGAGAACAGCAGTTAGGAACACTAATCATTTACTTCCCTGTGCACCTCCCAAAGCAAGGGAGGTGGCAGGAGAAACCAGTTTATAAAACTGGCAACGTGATCACTTCTGGTTTACTGGAATCGAAGGTGATACTCAGAAGATTGAAGGATCGTGTATGATTTGTTGCAAAGTCAGTCACATTTAAGTCTATGACCAAGTTGAAGAGTAGTTTTGCATTTGTACGTGTAGGTAAGCAATGTTGCTATTCTCGAAATTGCTAGAAATTCAGAAATGAAGAAACTTACCTCTTGTTTAGTTGCTCTCCACATGACTAAAGAAAACTAATGTTGTTAGTGACTGTTATATAATCTGAAACAATGTTTTAGGATGCAGCAAGTCAATATCTCAGAGATTTCTGATTTTGGTTAAAATAGCCTTTGTGTGTATTCTATTGTTGAACTAAAACCCACTTTCATCCAAAATGCAGGGTCCGAAAACCCTCCATACATAGAGAAAATGGGAAATTGTAGCTAAATGTACCTTTATTTACAAAATATTCATTACAAAATTTTACAAAGAGGTGGCCCAACAAATGTCAGGGAAGCAAAGGAACGCTCTGGCTATCCAGATCCACTGCGTTTGGACCACCTCTTAAAAAATATTTACTTCTTAAGTATTTTGTAAAATCTAGATTCTCTAGCCCCTGGTATTCTGCCCCGTTCTGTTTCCTTGCAGTTCTCCAATCTGGTAGGCTTCCAAGGGTAGCTAACTTTCAGGCTCTTTTAGCCTACCTTCCTTTTCTGATAGAAAGTGTTTTTTGTTCCATAATGAGAAACATAAGTTCTTGAATCTTTCTCATGGATGCTTTTGTCTAGAGCACCAGGAAATCTGGGACTTGGGGCTCGGTGCCTGTGGCTCAAGCGGCTAAGGCCCCAGCCACATACACCTAAGGTGGCGGGTTCAAATCTGGCCCGGCCCGCCAAACAACAATAATGGCTGCAACCAAAAAATAGCCGGGCGTTGTGGTGGGCGCCTGTGGTCCCAGCTACTTGGGAGGC